GAGTCAACCCTGAGCCGGTGAGATTTGAACCGCTGACCTGCTGATCTAGCAGTAGCCTGCAGTGCTGCTTTTAACCTCTGCGCCACCTTGGCTCTTACATAAACACATTTTACTACTACTAATGCCAGAAACCGGCGTTTACTTCTGATTTGTAGCAAAGACCGTCCATTGCGGAGAATGGATTTGCTTAACAGCTGCCACAAAAAAAAAGCCATAAAATTGGTGCGGTCACATGGTGATCCACTTAATGACCGGCGCAACTTTGACCGCAATTCCAGGATCAATTGCAGTTGTAAATCAGGGGCTATCTGTACATCCTTTGAAACGCCAGTACAGGTAGTCCTCGAGCTATGACCGCAATTAAGCCCAAAATGTATGTTGCTAAGTGAAACATTTGTTAAGTGAGTTTTGTGACTCACTGCCGTTGTTAAATTAGTAACACGGATGTTAAGTGAATCTGGTTTCCCCATTGACTTTGCTGGCCAGAAGGCCACAAAAGGGGATCACATGACACTGCAACCGTCATAAATGTGAATCCGTTGTCAAGTATCCGAATGTAAATCATGTGACCATGGGGATGCTGCAATGGTCGTAAGTGTGAAAAATGGTCATGTCACATTATTCAGTGCCATTGTAACTTTGAACTGTCACTAAGTGAACTGTTGTAAGTTGAGGACTACCTGTAGGCAGAAAATTTTGCCACAGGGAAAATGAGCTGTCCATCAGCTTACAGAAACTGGCACAAATCACAGATTCAAGTTTTTCTTTAAATTCCAATAAGTTGGTAGAAGGCCAGAAATCAATGGGCATCACTCCTCAAAACAGCTGGTTTCACGTGAATCAGTGCAAAAGCAGGGATAGGCTTCAAAAATTTTAGCAAGGGGTTCTCCGCCTAATTGCTGGGTGGGCGTGGCCACAGTGGGCAAGGCCTAGTTGATCTCCTGCACCATGGGGGAGGGATTACCCTCTCCAGGGTCCGGAGGCTTTCCTTGAGCATCTGGGAGGGCAAAAACGGCCTCTTCCGGGCTCCAGAGGCTGTCTGGAGGCTGGAAATGGGCCTGTTTCCGGCCTTCTGGAACTTCCGGGAGTCTTGTTTTTCGCCCCCGAGCCTCTGTGCGGGCCCTGTACTTACCTGCATCCAAAACGGGCCGTGCGGGGACTCCAGGGAGGGGAGAGGTGGGTGGGATTTGTGGGTTCTCCAAACTAGGCAGATTCTTAGCTAGAGGTTCTCCTGAACCTGTGCGAACCCGCAGCAGCCCACCTCTGTGCAAAAGCAATCACAGGCTTCCTCAACCAGGGGCTAAAGGGATATGCATAATATCTAAGAGGGAAGGGGGACCATAAGTTTATAACTACCTATTAAAAAGAAGGTCAGAGGCATTATACTGGCAGTTCTTAACTTACAACCACAACTGAATCCAACATTTTTGTTGCTAAGCAAGACAGTTGTCCTAAAGGTGCTTTTTCAAGGGGCAACTGGACTTTCTGTTTTTTTTTCTTTGAAGATGTTTTGCTTTATATTCAAGAAGCTTCTTCAGCTCTGATAGGATGGCAGGGAATGGAAGGAATTATATTCCTTGCATTATATTATATTATATTCCTTTGCATTTTTTTAAAGTCACTGAAGCTACTTGGAGGTTTATTTGTGTCCTCCGGGTCACCTGAGTCATTTTTTTCTACCTACCTTTTTCTTGTAATTTATCTTTTACTCTATGAAAAGTTTTTATTTTTATTTTTAAAAAGGAAAGTTTAAAAGTATCTTTCAATCATTAACAGTGGGGGGGGTGTGTGTGCTCAGGATTCACATCACAAGTTCTGTGATTTGTCCAAAGAAGCCAGGAAGTTAAAATGACTGAAATGTAATTTGTAATACCCTTGATGCTGCCCTCTTAAGGGACCCAACCATTCCCTTCTGGGCAGTTTGGATAAAAGTATAATGGTACCTACCTGAGCCCACAGAGTCTTGTTGATGCAAATGGGCATAACTCCAAGTTGGAGAGAATCTGAAAAACTGGGTGACTCATTCTCTAGCATCAGGCGTGGTAAGGCCTGTTTAACATCAACACGGAGGCTGAAGTTGATTATGGGTCTCAAGGAAGCTTGTTAAAAAAAAGAATGAAGGGGAAGACAGAAGGGAAAAAAAACTGAATCCAATGAGCGTTGACTGAAAGAACAAGTGAATTAGCATCAGTGGTGGGATTGAAAAGTTTCAACAGTAGGTTCTTTGCCCGGTTGCTGGGTGGGCGTGGCCATGGGGGTGTGGCCTAGTCAGCTTCCTGCACCACGGTGGCATGGGGGCGTTTTTGCCTTCCCCAGGCTTCGGAGGCTTTCCTTGAGCCTCTGGGAGGGTGAAAATGGCCTCCCCCGGGTTCCGAAGGCCCTCTGGAGTCCGGAAACGGAGCCATTTCCGGACTTCCGGTACTTCCGGTAGGCCTGTTTTTCGCTCTCCCCAAGTTCCGGAGGCTTTCCTCAATAGAACGTTCAGGAGGCCCACTTCTTGCCCTCCAAGAGTCTCCTTATGGCCCCTGCATTTACCTGGCATGATGAATGGGCTGCATGGAAACTCCTGGGAGAAGAGGGGCAGGGTGGGTGGGGCTAGCCAGTCCTTGTAGCTACCAGTTCGGTGAACCAGATTAAAATTAACATCCGGTTACCCAAACTGATCTGAACTGGCTGAATCCCACCCCTGGTTAGCATCCAGAGAATTTTTTTTAAATCACATGGGAATATATTGCTATTTATAATTGTCTTACAGCAGTGTTTTTCAAACTTGGCACCTTCAACTCCCATATTTCCACAGCCAGCATCAACTCCCAGAATTCCTCAGCCACCATGTCCACACATCTTATGATAACCTTTGCTGTCATTTTTACTGTGAGCACACTGGGTAATATTAAAAATGAGATTCTGTTTCCTGCATATATAATTATCCTAAAAATACAAGTTCCAGGTATATTTATAAAAGAAGAAACAGACATTGTGATCCCTGGAACTTTAAAATATATTGCTTACTTAGGTTTTGTTAGCTAACATCGTCAGAGTGTAAAAACCATTAAAGAGATACCTGCCTTTATACACGATTAATCAATTTGGCCATTGTGTGCATAATAGGCCCATCTACCCACCTCCCACCTATAATTAGCTTTGTTGTTTTTACATCAGACATGTTAATCGATGCTCCTATTTCCTCTCCTATCAAGCACAGCTTGGGCTGCTCATACATACACACACACACACACACACACACACACACACACACACACACACACACACACACA